CAGGCTGCCCAGGGAGGTTGTGGAGTCTCCTTCACTGGAGACATTCAAAACCCACCTGGATGCGTTCCTATGTGATGTACTCTAGGTGACCCTGCTCTGGCAGGGGGGGTTGGACTAGATGATCTTTCGAGGTCCCTTCCAGCCCCTAAGATTCTATGATTCTATGATTCTATCTACATTGAACTAGGTCACAGATGGATTTATAAAAGCAGAGATAGACAGCACACAGTGAAGTAACAAAATACAGAGGTTTATTGACAATTATATGGTTTATAATTTGATTTCCAATCCCCTGAAATGTTCTTGTCAGTATTACTGATTCTATGATTCTATCTACATTGAACTAGGTCACAGATGGATTTATAAAAGCAGAGATAGACAGCACACAGTGAAGTAACAAAATACAGAGGTTTATTGACAATTATATGGTTTATAATTTGATTTCCAATCCCCTGAAATGTTCTTGTCAGTATTACTTGATGAGTTGAAAACATGGTTTAGATTCCAAAGAAAGAAATGCCAGAAAACAAACATAGTTTAACTAATTTAAGGCCTAGTTGGAAGTTGCCGTTTAAAGAACAGGCACTGTAGCCAATGCACATCAGGTATTAAAGGATGCCAAGTCTAAGCTCAGTGTTGCAGGCAGCATCAATCACACCAGGCCCTTCCATGCAGAAAGCAGGCTCTGGCTGAGTCTCCCACATGGCAGTCTCTGAAAACTCTGCTCAGCACTGAAACAAGAAATTGAAACAGCCAGATGTGTCTAGGACTCAGTCAGAGGCTGGGCAGCACAGATTCAGGAATAGCTGCTAGGAAATACATGTTCAGAAGTAATATGACTCCATTCCAGGGCTGCATTTAGAACCACTGTCTTATTTTTCTGGGGGGCAAATAACAGAGAGCTCCAAACCTAACTGAAAGGTACAAAGGTATTGAAATCCCAGCTTTCTGTGGCTCATTGCACCCTTAGCACTGCCTCATGTATTTCACTTTCACTATTTGAAAAGGCAATTAAGTCTTGAGGCAATCACCCACCACTCCTGCCATCACCTCACCTGAGCAGTCAGCTCAGCACTACAATCCCAGAGTGTTTTAGCACCTGGCCCAGGGACAGTCCCCTCTGAACAGTAGCAGTTCCCAGGTAACTGGGGCTAGAACAGCAGTGGATGATGCAGATAAGGGCACTTGTTCTTTGGTGTACCTGAACAACTCCTGTTTCCATATGTCAAATTTTAAGTCACTATTAAATACATTGAACCATATGCAGCTAACAATAACATTCATACATCCAGGCTCAGGATGTAATCAGAAAGTCCATTCAGAGAACAAAGGATGGGACCTACCCTCCTCAACAAATGTTTATACAAAACATGCACATCTTCCAAACATTTAAGATAGCCAGCACCACTAAAAGGCTTGTATTGTTAAATTCTTTGATTCTCCCACCAGGATAATCTACAGCTTGTCTCAAAACAACCTCAGCTGTGCTTGAAGGAGAATCCACATAGTTCTCCCAACCTTACCAACAAAAATCTGAGGCAGTCAAAGGCAAACATAAGGCTGACCAAAGACAGGAGATTTCACTCAGTCAGCACAGACAAACAAACAAAAAAATGCACTGTGGTGAAGACAGTAGAACAGTCCTGGTTTCCCCAGGGTACCAAAGGGTAAAAACCCTTGCAGAAACTAAGGCATTTCTACAGAGGCTGGGTGAAAGCTTGCTGGACACCTCAGTATATTCTCCATGGTAACTGTACACTTTAGGTTGCTCCTGTTCAAATATTACCATAAAGCTATTCCTTGCAGCCACATCTTTATAAAGAAAATGTGCAAGCACTCAACCAGGATGCTTTTATTTAAAGTCTTCTAGAAGCACCTATGTCAAAGTGTTGGACTGACGCTATCACTTGTCAGGAGCTAGTTGTAGTAACCAGCAGAGTACTGAAGGCATCAGAAGGGCCCAAACACTGGGAAAGACCATGACATTCATTAACGTACAATGGTTTGTGAATATAAAAAACTTTCAGCATGTTTTGTCCCTGTATCAGCAATCATGTGCTGCAAAGCAAGACAGGAGAAAAAGAGACTGAAGAAACTCAAAACCATAGTAGCTCTACTCCTTCCAGTGAAACTTATTTTACATTCAAGTGACTGCAAGTCCACTCACACTGTGAAGCTGCATCCTGGTGCCTAGAGGAGCACAGATCCTACCTGCTGTGCTTCAGAATCTCTCAGATGTGACCCCCACATCCCTTCCCACCCATAATATTCCACATGTTCACTGCATGGATAAGCCTAACTTCACAGCAGTGCCCCAAGCCACTAGCTAGCCAAGAACCTAACAGTGGTATGAACTCATCACAAAGTAGCACTGCTCTTTCACAATGTTACACTAATGTCCCCTGCTGCCCCTCACCCAGGCAGTTCAATACATCTTCCACAGAGCACCTTTTCCCTCCCCAGCCCTCCCTCCCCAGATCATTAGCTTACCCTTCCTACACACCCTCGTCCACCTGCCTAAGAATCTATCCACAAACAATAGCCTCTAAACTGACCTCACAACCCTAGACAAGAGTTTCTGTGCAGGCTCCATCCGTGACAGGTGACACTAATAGAAGGCAATACTGGATTTGCCCCCTGGTGGGTTGAGGACCTTGTTGTGTGACCGCGGCCTTGGCCCCAGCCGTGGCTCGTGATTGTCTATCTTGGGATCAGACTCTTTGCCTCGCTCCTCTTTGCCCACGTCTTTTTTCTCACCTCCATCTTCCAGGTGTGGTTTGGTATTTTCTGTAGCTGAATAAAGAGAAAAGGGATTAGATCAACTCACTACTCTGTAGTGCACAAGTGCCCTGCAGGCAGCATTATTCCCCACGTCTCCCATCCATAGGACACTAAAATTTCTCTGTATCTGTTCATTTTTCCTGAAGGAAACAAGTGGTGAGGAAGAATTTAACTTCTTTCAGTAATTTCTTCCTTCAGCAATCTTTTTAACAAAGCTAGGCAGGCTAAGCACTGTACCTTGTTAATTATGTTGGCAGTTTCAGGCAATTAAGAGATGCAACATACCAAGGAATCCATTCATACTAAGCTTGAAAGCAGCATTCCCATCGTTCTTCAATATTAACCCGCTGAGGAATAATACATTTTTTGTTCAGCTGTTTGTTATTTACAATCACGTAAGGCCAAGATGATACACTTGAAGCAGATGGCAAGGGAGGAAGAAGCAATCTGATAGGTTACTTTTCTATATACACAGATTCCACACGTATCCATACGCGTGGTATCAAGTGAAGTACATACACACATATCAGACTTAGGCCTGGGAAGTTCTCTGCAGGAAAAGGAAGAAAACCCTTTCCCTGAATTTAACTTATTAAATTTCTGACTAGTAGAAGGAAAGCTTCCCAGTTATATCATCCTAAACACCAGCCTTAGACTTTATTTTTAAGAGGAAGCATAAGAAACTGTTCCTCAGAGATGATCTTCTCAAAGAGACCAGAAAGAGGAATTTCTCTTGCTGACCTTCTAGCTTCTTTGGTGTTTCATCTTCTTTCAAGTCAATATGATCCTGCAAAGTAACCAAAAAACTATCTTAGTATATTATTATTACAAATCAATAATTCTGTCACAAAATCCTTCAGAAAACTTTGTTTCTGATCTACATTTATGCATAAAAGCCAAGAGCTGAAGACACTGTGCACAGCCCTGCATCCCCTCAGTGCTCCATCATCCCAAAAGCAGTGGTAGAAGGTAACTCCTAGGTAATGTCAAGGTGCACACTTCAGACAATTCACTGCAACACAGATGAAGACGCTACATGAGTTCATTAGGGGCTTAAATCCTTACCTATAATAAAAAGCTCAGTCAAAAGGCCTGGAATTACCCTCCTCAGTACCACCCAGAAGTTAGTACTTGCACCCAGAACACAAGCAGCCACGAGCACCCTACTCAGCAATGGAGCAGTTCCTGTCTTCAGAGCATCCACAGTGACTCAAACACTCAGGTCATGAACAAAGCCTTTTAAGACCATGATCTCAAGAGCCGTGACTGATTGCTGGAAATATACAGCACTGCTGCAGAACAGCTTGCATGTTTTCCCACCCATGAAATTCAACCTACAGAAATGTTTCAAGTATGTTAACCTCCTTTCCATCTCCCCATTTCCCACAATTCCAATGCTCTAATTAAAGACAAAGAAATTCCTGAAATGTTGCCCTCCACTTAGTCAGTTCACAGGGATTCATGTTACATTTTTTACACAGCAACTAAAAAGAATCAGAGACCTACCCAATAAAGGCATACAGAGGAACAGAACAATGCCCCTTCCTACACTACCTGCACTACTCCTAACAAAACCTAGCTCCAGTCTTTTTTTAATCCTCCCTTCTTATGACCCAGTTCCGCCAGAACACACTCCAGAGCCTGCGTAAAAAGTTAGGCAAAAGCACAAATATAAGGGGGGAAAAAAAAAAAAAAAAGAGAAAAAAAGTTAAATTGTCCATCTTTTCTTCCTAAGGTTCTCGGAAAAATGACACTTACTACTTTTACAACAGAAAGAGCATGAGGTGGGATGTTAAGTTCCCATGCTAGCTGACATGTCAAAAACACTGTCAACCTAGTAGCTATTAATTTAATACTATACACTTAGAATAAGGCAACAAGATGTAAAGCCAAATATGGGGAAATTAAATACAGAAACGAAGTAAATGGCAATGTATCCTCTTTTTTTTGAAAACCAGATTTGGTTGTAACTACAAGCCCCACCTACACATCCCGGCTTTAAGATCAAAAAATAACAGCTGATACAGCAAGACACAGTTCTGTCTGACACCACAAAATCAAGTATATGATGGACCTGACACGCAGGTTCTTGAGTTCAGGATCTTGAGGTTAGCTTTTTCACTGTTGACCACTTAAGCTTAATCTTTGAAGTGCTTTCATGCTGAATGAAGGGGCCTACAAGAAAGCTAAGGAGGGACTTTTGACAAGGGTCTATAGCAATAGGACAAGAAAGAATGGTTTTGAACAGAAAGAGGAGAGATTAGGTTGGACATTAGGAAGAAATTCTTTACTATAAGGGTGGTGAGACCCTGGCCCAGGTTGCCCAGAGAAGCTGTGGCTGCCCCATCCCTGGAAGCGTTCAAGGGCAGGTTGGACAGGGTCTGGTTGGAAGTGTCCGTGCCCATGCAAGGGGGTTGGAACTAGGTGATCTTTAAGGTCCTTTCCAACCCAAAACATTTGATGATGATGAGGTACATCATGAGAGGTGAAGGGTACAGGTCACATGAAGGTTTATGACTGTAGCTCACTGGTGTTTCCCAGCTTTCCAGAGTCTGTGCCAAGATCTCCTCTGCCAAATGGCAGAATAAAGAGAATTCTCCTCCCCCTATGTAGCTTAAACGTTGCCTGGCTGTGTGCCAAGAATCCAGCTGTACCTCACTCACGGAAGAATAAAGACTTCAGAAGCATTTTTCCTTTTTTTTTTTTTAAATAAAACTGCAGTCTAAATAAAAGTTTTATTTCAAAATACAAAACATCCTGAGATCTGACCTCACTCACGGAAGAATAAAGACTTCAGAAGCATTTTTCCTTTTTTTTTTTTTAACATAAATCTGCAGTCTAAGTAATAGTTGTATTGCAAACTACAAAGCATCCTGAGATCTGATAACCAAAAGATATGAAGCTTTCAAAAAGAGACTTCAGGATAGCTGTCTAATTTGAAGTCGCCCCATGCATCATTCAAGTCTTTCATCTTAAAAATAATACAGGCACCGAGACGAGCGTAAGATGACTCATGAGCTTCTTGGTTTGACAGTGAAAGAAGTGCAGGTACCTTAGGCTTGTTTGGGTGTGCTCGCACAACACTGGTAGATACAGGAGACCCAAAGATATCACTTGTCTTCCCCCCAGGTGGATTCATTCGTGGACGAGGCTGAGCAGAATTAGAATCCTCAAAAATACCACTTTCTTTTCCTCCTGCAAGGTAGTAGTTAGAATTCTTTTTCTAGATTACTTTGTTTTACCACATATATTATTTTTAAAAAATTAAAGATTTCAAAGACTTCTACATCCCTACTGCCTAGAGACTTCTGTTTGCCTGAGGATGCTAGTCGAAATCCTTTGTTACAAGAGGAGTCACTAGAGGATCTCAGATGCACCTGTACTCACTGCAGCTGATTGATGATACAGCTCTAGAATAGAAGCAGTTTCCTTTCATCACTTCCTAGACCTCAACTCACAGAATTAGACTTGGGTGATGTGCTAAGAAATCTGTGAACAGGGTGATCACCGAAATATTAGTATATTCAGAAGTCTGAATAGATTTACTGTTCAAGCCCACTGAGTTTGTAAAAATGCAAAGACAGATCCCTGTTTCTACTTTAGGAATATGAAACAAATTTTGTGCTGCAATTCAGAGCACAGTCATGCTGCAGAAGGTGGCTTCTCTTACCTGGAGGGTTTGTTCTTTTTGGAATGTTTTGAGGTTCTTCTGATGCTCCAAAGATATTGGAGGCCATCCGATGTGGCCTGCTCGAAGAAGGAACTTCTTCTGTATTCCCAAAAAGATTACTGGAACCTCCTCCTGGGGGCTTCAACACCCTACATTGATGAATGAGAGAAGCAAGAGACAAACGCTTGTTTTAAATTTATTGCTTTGAAGATCTTTAATATCCTCTCCCCATCCTCCCTTGTATGTTATGAATAACTCTTCTGATTTAAGCTTACTTCAGGTAGCTCTGCTACGTCCACAAAGGATCTACTTTTCAAGAGCTGTTCTAATAAAATATTCTCAAGTTCAGCACAAATATTGCCAGCTCCGTAGGCATTCAACTTGATCATGATGTTAGCTGTGATCACTTGGAATGGTCTAAGCAGTGCCACCAGAACAAGAGCCTATGCTAGCTGTAGTGTTCCAGAAGCAACTGGAGATGAAGACTCTCATTAGTCTTTTTAAAATTATCAGACTTTCTGCTAAACTGTACATACCAGCTTTACATCTTTGACACAATTCAAGCCCGTCGTCTTTTAAATAAAAGCAGACATTTCATAATTACTAAACAATTTGCTACGTTTAACCACTAGCTCTCATATAAGAATGAGCGTTGTCAGCTTTTCAGATCCCAAGATGTAGAAAGCAGTTCTAGACTCTCTGGGAGGAAGGAGAAAAAAGGTTCCCCTTCTAGTCTAGGAGTAGTTTATATAGTCAGAACCAGCCTCAGAAAGCCTGTCTTTACGAGCCAGTTTCAGTATTTTAACCCTTAGTACAGTGGTGGATTTAATGAACCCCTTTAACTTGAGGGAGTGACTAGAATTTCAGTAGACAGGACAACTGCACAAGTAAGATCATACCTAAGCAGAAGGTTTAGCTTCCAACAGACTACAGATCCAACTATGCTACAGGCTTTCCACACATCTTAGAAGATCTAAAGTTGGTTTTAGAAGATCTGTAGCTGCTATTAAAACAGACATCACAGAATCTTAGAATTACCAAGGCTGGAAAAGACCTTTAAGATCATCAAGTCTGGCCTATCATCAACACCACCACATCTCCGGACCACAGCACTAAGTGCCTGAACACTTCCAGGGACGGTGCCTCCACCACTTCCCTGGGAAATCCATTCTAATGCCTAATCACCCTCTCCATGAGGAAGTACTTCCTAGTATCCAACCTAAACCTCCCCTGGAGCAGCTTGAGGCTATGCTCTCTTGTCTTGTTTTTGTACAGGCAAATTATATATTTTGATAATTCGCAGTGGTCCAGATACTATGAGGTGGTTTAAGTGTCTGAACTTGGAAGAGGAAAGGGAACAATTTAAAAAAAAAATAAAAAAAAAAATCTAACAAGGGAAGTTTGGGAAGGGTTAAAAAAGTAGGGTTGCTAGTATCTCTTCTATATTCTAAGTGACTTCTGACTATAAAGCTATTTTTATCAGGCTGAGTCTTTTTTCTTGAGCTCTATGTATACTACCTAAGAGACTGAAAGGAAGAGAAATGTAGTTCATACAGATAAAGCCTCTTGCACTCTAGATTCACTCCATTAACTCTGCAGTTTTCTTAACACATGCTTACAAGCATGGCAGGGAATAACAAAAAATTACATTCAGATATTTTTTGGTTTAAGAAAAACAACCAGTCATAAGAATGAAATTACTTCTCATTGCAGAAAAATCCAGAGAAACACCACTTTAAGATTACAGGTTTTGATTGTTCAGTTAATAAATTTAATTAAGCATCAAAAGAAATCCAAAACAAATCAATCTTCTATTGTCCTCCCATTTTCAGCTCAGAACACATACTAAGAAAATGATACTGTTGTGAAGCCTAAGTAAGAGGCATCGCTTGGGGTGCTTACAAGGCACTTTGAAATCAGCATAATAGGTGACCTTTTCTGCCAGCATCACCCAGAAGAATGTCTTGACTCAGCATACACAAAGGGGATTTGCCTCCTCAATTTCAGAACCTTTTAATCACTGGGAGCCTTCCAAATATTCTATACACTTTTAGGAGACTGTGATCCATAAAATTCTAGCTAATGTGAAGTCAGATAACTACGCCATTCACAGAAACTAGTAGTGAAGTACAGCAGCAAGGTCTTCTAGCTTCTGACAGCAAAGAGGACAAGGTTTTGACAAATGCTGGGGAGAAGGCAAAGCTATGTTCTAGCTGTGAAGCCCCCTGACCATTGCTGACCTCTTTGTACTCAGGTGTCACTCAGTTCTAGATCAGAGCAAGATGTGCAGGTCTCCCACACCAAATAAAATTCAGCCTATGAACCCTGCTAATGGACAACAGCATGCTAAGCTTGCTAAGCCAGTGTGAGCTGCTTCCATAGAGCATAAGGAAATTCAACACACATTTATAGTAACTTTACTTGATACTTTATAGTAATTTTAGTTTATATTGGTATTATGTCAGTTTACATCAAGAGATACTTTTGTGTCTTGTAGCCAGGTAAGTTAGTTCTTTCTTTCTTTGGAGAAGGGGAGGAGCACAGGTGTTATTTTATTTTTCTAAACAGTAATGATAAAAACTTGTTTTCTAAACAATCTATGTGTGTCCCTTCTCTCCCCACCCCCTCCAGTGGAAGTGTGTCAATTCAGCTAGAACAGCTAAATTAAGAATTCTACCCTGTAAGTTTAAAAGCCTCTACTAATTGCTTTTGTCAGGCTTGAAGAATTTTAATTAGTTAATATTCTTTCCTACATTCTAACACACTTGAATTTGAATGCCGCTTCCTTATTAAACCTTTTAGCTGACCTATGGAAGAGGTGCCAGGACACTGGCTATATAATGTTTGAACATTGAGGTCCTACCAGTTTTCAAACAGTTTGAGTAAAGCAGGTAAAATAGGCGAGTTCCAGTATACATAAGAGACAACCACAAAGGTAACTAGCAGAAAGCCAATGAGAAAGCAAGTGTTAAGGTTTGGAACACCAGGCTCTAAAGCAAAGACCAGAATGTCACTGGGGCTGCCCCTGCAGTTGGATCAATCCCAATTCACGGCTCATTTAATAGCTCACTCATCTTATAAATGAACAGTGAGCTTTGCGAAGCTTTCAGATCTATGCTATTGATCTGAAAGCTCTGCAACATTCTGAAATATGATTGAAGGACAGGAGGGAAATGTGTATGATGTTTCCAAGATGGCTACAGTTGATGTTTTCAGCTCTACACAGTCACTGTGAAATTGCTCACACACTAGATGAACTGAGGACACATCCGAGCACTGCATCTTTACAGTGTGCATCACCTAAACAACAGAATTCTGCCCCACTTTGCTTTCAGAGCAACAGCAGCTCTTGGACAGGCAATTTCTTGGTTTATTTTGGAAAAGCAAAACTTCCTTAAAATTATAAAGGGTCATTATTAAAGATTAATTTTTAAAAAAGCTAGGCAGTTTACTTGATTCAGCAATTAGTTGTTCACTATATCACTGTACACATTAAAAGGATCATCTGATTGGACAATTTCTTAAGTGGAAGCTTTAATTTAAAATATTTCTAGCATAATTTATTTCTAACAGTAATATCCCTATGTTATGAAGTTATATAAAATGCAAGACATTCATTTATACTTTCCTTGCAAAGATTTGCACACTAGGAAGTTATTTTTTCCCACTTCCACAGCTGTTGGTGGTTGCTGCAGGGATTTTGAAGTAGGCTCAGTTTTAATTAGAGAAATTTCTACACATCAAGAACTGCAAAATAATTTGCCTTACCATCAAATAAAGTTTTGTTTAGGGAACGAATGTATTAAGTTCTGGAAAAAAGTGTCCTGAAACCAAGTGCTTTTTGCTTTTGATGGCACAGACCAGATGTCCAGAGTCACCACCTCAGAGACCATGCTATAAAAACCAATCCTGTAACATGCTGCAGTGTGTGTGCAGTGCAGGGCCTGTCGGTGTAGGGGTGTGTTACTGCTCTAGTGTGTTCTCTCTCACACAGGATGAAAACACCCTGCCTCAGTGCCAGAGAACAAGCTGTAACAAGATCATCTTTGCTTGCTCTCAAGTGAGAAGTTATCATGGTTTGCTTTTCAGGCTCTACCCAGAAACCCAACTTATGAGTTAAACATAGTTTCAAAATTACCAGGAGAGCAGAATCTTCCCAGAGACTATACTAAGGGCATAGCACCCCTAGAAGTCTTTTAAAACCAGGTCATAGCTTAGTGGAACTGGAATAAAAGGCAAATTTAAAGCACCCTTACACAGTTTTGAAACACTTCCTTGCTTCCCCTCCAAGCACATGATTAACTCGCAGAGAGATTAATCACTCCAGCTCCAAGTTACCAAGCTCTATGCCCTTGTCCAACAATCTATTTCCATTTCGTATGGCAAAAAGCTAAAAAAACCTTTGCTTATGCAGGCGTTTGTGTTGGATCCTCTCAAAGCTCCACAAAGCTTAACGAGGCCCTCCTCCCCGCTGGAGGAGGTACAAGGACGGGGGCCGGGGTGCCAGCACAGCGCCAGGCCTTCCTTCCCGCACGGGAGTTCCCTCAGGGCTCCGACCCCTCTCCAGCTCGGTGAACCCCAGCAGGAGCCCAGGCCCCTCCCGGCGGGCCGAGCCCGGGGCCACAGCTCCACGGGAAAGTGCGGGGAACGGGCCCCTCCCCGCCCGCTCCCTCCGCCCGCGCCACGCGTGGGCCCGCATCACCCGCTCCCGCGGCCTCACCCCCGGGGCGCGGGAGCGGCGCCCTGATACACCTAGCAAATGCACCTGGAAGC